CCCTGTGTTTTAAATCTACAGGCAAATAAACTGGGGTGGGGGGACGTTGTTGTTGTAGTAGCAATTTTTAATTTATTAATTGCTTCTGCAGGGCTCTGGGCAATGTACAATATGAACAACAACATACACTAGATAAAACAATTAAGATCAAACAGATGGTGAACGAATAAACCCCCTTTCAGATTGTCGGTCACTTCGCAGGTGGGGGGGGAAGGGGGTGAGGCAAATGTGGTGAGCAGAAGAGGGTGCCAGCCAAGATGAAAGACCGTCGCCGTCCTCAGACAGGGGCCGAATTGACGCCTTGAGGGAGCCGAACACTCACAACATGACTACCCCTAACCTGAAGAAACAGGAATTTAACAATGAGTAAAATGAGAATGCAGAAAAGCGCCTGTTTTGAATTCTGGGCACCTTCACACATGTGCAAACGCCACTTGGGTGTTCAGCTCTGGAGGACCACCAAGCTGCTTTTACTTCTGCCGTCTGTCTATGGTTGCCAGCCCTGGCTCGGAAAATTCCTGGAGATTTGGGGGTGGAGCCTAGGGAGGGCAAGGTTTATACCCCACCCTTCACTCGTAGTCTGAGAGCGGCTGACAAACTCCTTTCCCTCCCCCTCCCCACAACAGACACCCTGCGAGGTCGGCGGGGCTGAGAGAGCTCTGACAGAAACGGCTCTTTTTCAAGGACAGCTCTTGTCAGAACCACGGCTTGCCCAAGGTCATCCAGCAGCTGCGAGTGGAGGAGTGGGGAATCAAACCCGGTTCTCCCAGATTACAGTCCACGCTCCTAACCACGACACCAAACTGGATTCATCCGGGAATAAGGCTGTAGAGTGCATCCGTCCAAAGCAGCCATTTCCTCCAGGGGAGCGGATCTGTCGTCTGGACACCAGCTGGCCTTCCCGGAGGTCTCCAGGCCCCAACCCTCCATCATGGTGGGCCACGGCGATTCTTACCGTTGCAGTTATTCTGGCAGCAGGATCCCGGCAACGGGTGTTTGCAGAGGGGCCCGGGGCAGTGCCGCTCCGTGCAGCGGAGTTCCCCGCTGGTGCATATGCAGGCCTGGCATGGATTCTGCGGGTGGGGCAACTCCTCTCCCTCGAGCACCACGCGGTTGTCCAGGGTGCAGTCTAAAGAGGGACGGGAGAGACGGGTCAGCTGATCAGTGCAGCCCCCCCCCCCAGCCCAATCTTAGCCCGCTGAGGTTCCGGAAGATGGAGAGGCCAAAGGGAATGAGAAGAACCGTGTACGGTGGGCAGTGTTCCCTCTAAGCTGAGTTAGTGTGAGCTAGCTCACAGTTTTTTAGCCTCTGGCTCACACATGTTTGTCATAGCTCAGGAAGGGAGGGCTCCAGAGCAAACTAATTGATGCAGCAGCCAAATCACTTGCTCACAGCTTTGATGCCAGGAGCTCACGAAGTAGAACTTTTGCTCACAGGACTCCACAGCTTAGAGGGAACATGACGGTGGGGCGCGTTAAACATTCTGCGCCCCGTGGCTGAATTCCCAGACCCTTCTCAAAATATCGAGCTCCTTGCTGCGGAGTTCAGCCACCCTGTTTATCCTTATGACGTGTCCTTCAGACTTCTAAGTTCGTTAAGATGCGGCTATATTTTTTCTTTCTCATCGGGTGGAACATCTCCGTTCCATCCGACAGTAGGCTGTCGTACTTTTTGGTCTTCGTGCTTGTGGTAATTGTGAACGGACGTATGAATGGACATGCAGGACAATATTCCGTTCCGGCTTTGGAAAAGTTTATTAAGGAAACGGGATCATAGGCTGGTAGGCTCTGTCAGACGGGACGGAGGTGTCCTTTCATCGGTCTTCTGTCCACTTTATGAGAAAAAACATACATAGCCCCATCTTAATGAATTTAGAAGAAGAAGTAGAAGAGATTGAATTTATACCCCGCCCTTCACTACCCAAAGGAGTCTCAGAGCGGCTTACAATCTCCTTCCCCTCCCCACAACAGACACCCTGTGAGGTAGGTGGGGCTGAGAGAGCTCTTGACAGAAAAGGCTCTTTTTCAAGAACAGCTCTTATCAGAACTGTGGCTTGCCCAAGGTCATCCAGCCAGGTGCAAGTGGAGGAGGAGTGGGGAATCAAACCCGGCTCTCCCAGATTAGAGTCCACGCACTTAACCCCTACACTAGACTTAGAAGTTTGAAGGATACATCAAAAGAAGCGTTTCCTCTAAACTGAGTTAGTGTGAGCTAGCTCACCGTTTGTTAGCCTCCGGCTCACACATTTTCATCTTAGCTCAGGAAGGAGGGCTCCAGAGTTGGATGGCAGAGGGCAGAAGGAGCCAGAGAGAGTGGCCATTTGGGTAACGCGCCTTCCCTTGGGACACACCGCCCCACGGCTTCTGCTCCCTTGGCTGCACTTCAAGGGCTCCCACGGTTTTGTCCCCCAAACGGTGCTATTCGTGCCCCCCCCCACATTCACCTCTTCCACACAATGACTCTAGGCTAGGGGTGTCAAACATGTGGCCCGGGGGCCGGATCAGGGCTTCTCTCAGGACCGCAGTGGAACTGGCTGTCTTCTGCTGCTTCTTCCAGTTCTGCTACTGCTGCATCATCACAGGTTTGAAGCTTACACACGTGAACAGCATACTCGAGATTGCAACAGCACAGACATTTCGATGCAGTAATTCAGAGCAAGAGGTGTCAGTATCAGACACTGTTAAATAAACAAACTATTGCAAGAGTGCAGATGTTTTAAGCATGTTTTTATTTTAAGTAAAAAAAACACCCTTTGTGTCTGTGTCCTTTATAAAGTTTATATCTCTGCTACCTGGCATTACATGTTATGACAGACCTGGCCCGGCCCAACAAGGTCTCCTTTATGTCAGATCTGGCCCTCATAACAAATGAGCTCGACACCCCTGCTCTAGGCTTTCTCATAACCCAAGAATGGCTCTCCCCGAAGGCCTCCGCATTCATCCGCTAATCATTCCTCTCCAACCCCAGAGAACAGAAAGGCGAGGCCCACCTTGGCCATTTCCTGTCAGGGAAAACCCCGGGCTCTGAAGCAAGCATGCTGTGAGCCACGGAATGTCCCACAGGAAGACGGGCTCAGAGTCAGCCGGGCAAGTTGGTCAAGTGGAACAGCTGCGAGGCGGAAGGAACCATAAACTGGGGGGCACCCGAGTTCGAACCTCGTTCAGCGATCTTAGGGAAGCCCCTCCCTCCCTCCCTCCCTCCCTCCCACAACTGTTCTTAATGAAAAACGATTACCCCACCCCTCCACCCCCAATCTGGCTAGCTTCCTTCCAGTCCAAACACTCACCTGGACATTTTGGGCAGCAGAATCCAGGCCTCTTCTTGGGATGGGGGCAAATCACTGGTGGGCACGCAGTGGGGGAGCACAGCACCGTGCCGTCCTGCAGGGAGGGGAAGTTGGAGGCAGTTCCATGCACCCTCCCCTGTGCTCCGGGGTCACACCCATTTCCTGTCTCTCCTGCAATCCCTGGTCTTATTTATTTGTTTATATCCCACTTTCCTCCCCCTAACTGGCTTACAATGTTCCCCTTTCCTCCAAGTTATCCTCACAGCAACCCAGTGAGGTAGGCCAGGCTGAGAGGGTGCGACTGGCCCAAGGTCGCCCGGGGAGCTGCCATGTCAGAGTGTGGATTCGAACCTGGGTCTCCCAGATCCTGATCTGACACTCTAGCCACGACGCCACACCGGCTCTCCCGGGCCTTCTAGATCTGCAAAACCAGGCCAGACTCTGGGAGGCTTTTGAACACGGGCTTGCCATGGAAAGCCTTCGGAAGCATGCAGCTCGTAAAGCAACTCAGGTCTGGCAAAGTTACTTTGGTGCACGAATGTCATGCAATGAGGTTTTCGATTCTCGCTGGTCCTCACCGCACACCGGCAGCTTTGGCACGGGCTGTCCGGGTCGGTGAACTCTTGCCCGTTGCCGTAGAGCCGCTGCTTGTAGGAGCACTGCTGGCAGGTTGGACAGCAGGAACCTGCGGAGAGAGAAGAAAGGAGACCAAGGAGAGGATCAGTGTTACTAGAAGACAGGTACTTGGCAGCGGCAACAGAGTGCTAGGCGCTGTACGGAACGTGACATTCTACCTCTGGGATCCTTCGTAATATTCTAAAACATTCATCAGAATTCTCAAATTATTTTGTGAGCTCCTGGCATTAAAGTGGTGAGCGAGCCATTTGTCTACTGCACGAATTAGTTTGCGCTGGAGCCCTCCTTCCTGAGCGAAGACAAAAATGTGTGAGCCGGAGGCTAAAGAACTGTGAACTAGCTCATGCTAACTCAGCTTAGAGGGAACACTGGGCACAGGCAATGTTCCCTCTAAGCTGTGGAGTTTTGTGAGCAAAAATTCTACTTTGTGAGCTTCTGGCATTAAAATTGGGAGCGAGCGATTCGGCCGCTGCATAAATTAGTCTGCTTTGGAGCCATCCTTCCTGAGCGAAGGGAAAAACGTGTGAGCCGGAGGCTAAAACACTGTGGGCTAGCTCGCACTAACTCAGCTTAGAGGGAACACTGCTCACACCAGGTCATGATGCAGGGTGCTCGGACAAGAGGCAGAAGGGGGCCTTCAGAGTGGTCCTTCCTCTTGTTTGGCTTTTGGACGGGAGAGGGAGAAATAACAACAACGTGCCCAAGCACAGGAATGATGGATTTGGATGCACAGAGCGAAGGAGAAGAAAAAAGGTGTCCCAAGTTCCCTTCCCTTTCCCAGCCCATATTCCCCGCACCCGGTCCATCTCCCCCACGCTTTCTGCATGGCTGCCCCAGAAAGGAAAGGCCACGCTCTTTAGCCCTGTTCATGGTACCGCGACAGGTAAGAGGCACTCACCTTGTAGCTGGGCTGGGTGTCGGCAGGGGACAGGTGGGCACTGAGTGGCGCTGCACACGGGCTCCCCCTGGAGGCAGACGCAGGTGCTGCAGGGATCCCCTTCCGTCTCCCATTCGGTGCCCTCCTCGAACTCCACGCTGTCAAGGACACAAACTGGCAGGGAGGGAGGGAGGGAAAAACAGCTGCAAGTCAGATCAGGCCCTGGGGTGGGCTATTCGGGAAACCGAGAAGGGAGCTTTGCTAGTGTTGCACGCACAGTCTATGAATACAGTTATACACTTTGTATTCTGCCACTGACTGACAGGTTAACTTAGTAGGTGTACTTAGCACTTCCATTATATATATATA